ACCAGGGCGACAGCGCAAGATGGAAAGAATCGCTCGTAGGCCCTGTGTGCGAGGCTGAGCAACTCCGAAAACGTTTGTGTTGCGTGATGCCCTGAAGTTGGGAGCACCATGGACATTCAAATCGAGATCAAGAGCTCGGCCTATTAAACTCTCTGTGAATTGACTTCACAGCAACCAATGATAATCAAGCGAACCAGACGGGTAATAATCGGTTTTCAAGATGAAGCCTCTGGACAACACGCTTCCCGTTCTCGTTTTGACAACGGATGGTTCTGCTCGCTTCAGATTGGCCATGAGATCAAGAGGTACGACGGCTTGTTTTTCTGTCATCGATATCGTCGATTCGCTAGCAACGCGAGATGTTCTGAGAGCTTTGACATCTCTAGATGCTAACTGGAGAGCCGACCGATCCACCAAAGGTACTGATGCTGGACGTTCGGTCGCATCGTCTAGTGATATCTTCGGAAGCTGGTGGATATGCATAGTGCTTACTTCGAATGGGACAAAGCGGGGAGCTTGTATCATACGATGTAACCAGAGACTACTAGTAGCTGGCTGAAACGCCTCGAATCGAAGGTCCACCGTGCCACAAGGGCAATCACACGACCCACATGAGGACCAGTCATGTCGTCCACGTGAAGCGTGAGAACCCCAACGCCAGTGGCTAAAATGAACGACCGTGAGGCAGACTAGCTAGTGGCGGCTCGTTGAGCCATTTCCGCGCAATCTCAGCCGATACTTTCCAAGTTTCCCTTTTCTTTCTACTTACCTTTCGCCGACTTTGCGATAACGCGAAACTTCAGTGCTACCTAATGGGTACTTGAGTGATAGAGTTCAGTTGGACGGCCATCTAAGATCTGAAACGAATCTTGCAGGTTTCATTACTCAATTCATAACAGCTCGGTTTCGTATTATTACTCGGCGTGGACCGAGTGTGTCGTATCCCTGTGATAATCATACTATCAGCCACTCATTCAGCCAGTGACAGCATCACGGGCTTGTTCAATGTCAAGTTTCCGAGTCCGCACCGCCCTTTCGCCACACACATCTACTTTGCCATAATTTCGGTTTTCATCTGCTATTTGTGTTCAAGTTGGTCATCGTGAGTACTAGTTCGTCCCTTTAATGGAGTGTCAAGCCAAGGCTCAGGCAGCTGACAGCAGAATCACTGCAGGGACTCGCAGGGATGTCTCATGGGAGACAGGCAAGCCCTTAAGTGCCCAAATCCTATCATGACGGCCTGCACTCGCAGCAACGAAGGAAAGGCTAGGTCAGGTTTCACAAAGAATTCTCCCGATCTGTGTATTTCCTGTTGGCGCAGCATGCAATGTATACAATTATACATACTTGTATTAACGTCGGCGACAATAATGCCTGTCTCAGAAAGGCATGTTATTAATATGAGTTTGGCGGCAATTTTTTTCTAGACTCGATTAGGATGCTTCGAAGGTATTAAAGCTACTCTTGAGTCGTGGACCTTTACCATCGCTTGAGATGTCCCCCTCTCTCATGACCTTTCAGGTTTTTTTTACCATTATATGCCTCTTTCTAGCCGTTTACCGAGTTCGACAAAAGAGTTCATCCAATCTCTCCTTTCCCCCTGGCCCCAAGGGCTTGCCGGTGCTAGGTAACCTGCTCGACCTCGACGGCAGTCAGCCGTGGATTAGCTTCACTCAGTGGGCATCGACACGCGGTAGAGTCCATCAATTTTCCAAGAAACAAATCTCCTTACTTTTTTAAGGGAACGTTGTCTACTGTAGGCTGTTCGGACGGCAAATTATTGTTCTGCAATCGCAGGAAGTTGCCAAAGCACTGTTGGAGAATCGCTCTAGTATTTATTCCGACAGGCCACCACTCTATAGCACAAAGGCGTAAGGAAACCAACATCCTATATGCTATATATACATATCTGACACACTTCTCATAGAACCGGATCTGAGTTTAACAGTGCCCAGTTAAGATATTCTGATGAATGGAGATTGCATCGACGAATTTTCCATCAATCATTCCGACCTGAGGCGGCAAAAGATTACTTGCCTCTTCAACTTCGTAAAGCTCGTCAGCTGTTGCAGGGCATCATAGAAGCCCCCGAGCGCTACCAGCGCCACATTGAACTGTCAGTGATATCTTATCTTATCCTTCGGCAAGCTTAACGACAAAACGTGGTGACCCCAGTTTCGCCTCTTCCGTGATCATGTCTGCTGTATACGATTACGAGGCCAAGCCGAATGACGACCCGCTTTTACTTGCCGCTGAAAAGGCGATCAAGGTATTTATAGAGCTGGCGAGCCCCCAGACTTCAGCCATCCTGGAGTCATTTCCGTTTCGTAAGTTTTTATCAATCTACGTCTCCAGAAAGTTATCTCTGACTTAACGTAGTGCTGAGACTGCCTTCTTGGCTTCCCGGAGCGAGTCTCAAAAGACTCGCTATCCAATCACAAAGGAATGCTACCGCCATGGTCAACATCCCGTTTCACTATGCACGAGAACGCGCAGTAAGCGTTCATGTCCTGAACAAGAATTAATCATATCAACATAAGACGTAGATGACTGCAACTTCGAATCAGTGCATGATCTCCGAGTCTTTCAAGCGGTTAGAAACACGTGGTAATGCGGACGAATTCGAGCTTGCGTTGAAGTCGTCTTCTGCTACGGCATTCATTGGTATGACACGGTTTCTCCTGAGTAACGCTACTAATACATGTCGTATATAGCTGGAGTTGAAACGGTCGGTGCTGCTTATCAACATTCACATGTTTCCCACGAACTCACGGATAATCAGACTGCGTCAACGCTCACTATCTTTGTTCTTGCAATGATGCTCTATCCAGATGTACAGAAACGTGCACAGGAGGAGATTGAGGCAGTTGTAGGTGACCAACTTCCTACATTTGAAGACCGGCCTTCGTTGCCATATGTAGAAGCAGTCTTGCGCGAGACGCTTAGATGGCATCCAGTGTTCCCTCTTGGTGGGTCGATCTCCTGCATCGTATGTTAGGACTTTACGTTTACATGTGACAAATTAGGTTTACCGCATTACACTACGGACAGTGATGTGTACAATGACCATTACATCCCCAAAGGTCTGGCATTTTCTATATCGCATCGCTTTCACTGCTAACCACCACGTAGGTGCAGTTGTTATGGCAAATATCTGGTGCGTCATAGTACTTGCTGGCCTTGAGTTGCGTTAAGGCAACTGCTACAGGGCCATGTCAAAGGACGAAATAAAATACCCAAACCCTGATGAATTCAAACCAGAGAGGTTTTTCACGGCTGATGGACATTTGAACGACGACACTGTCGACTTTCCTTTCGGCTTCGGGCGCCGAGTATGTGTTGGAAAGTACTTCGCTGATGCTTCCTTGTGGATTTCCATAGTATCTCTGCTAGCAACATTCCGTTTCATGAGACCATTGGACAATGAAGGGAAAGAAGTAGACCCTGTCTTCCAATGGTCCACCGGACTCATTTCGTAAGTATCTTATTCCATGCTATCATCCAAGCGAGTACCGCGAACTAATCGTTGAGATAAACCAGACACCCCAAATCTCTTCCCTGCCGTGTCGTTCCCCGATACCCGGACATGACTGCACGCAAGCTTGCAGACGTAATAGACGTCAGCACATGAAGCGAGTTGCTCGGTCAGTTGTACAATTACATCTCAAGGGAGGACAACATAATTTTTGTACATACATATCATGATTATGCGCGATAAGTTGAATTTGGAATTAATTCCGATTATGCACACTAGAACATTGTAGGACTGTATGCGGGCGGTATCGGGATGTGGGAGAAACAAGCGAGTATGAGTCAATGCCCTTATCATGCTTCGGGCACGTTGTTCTGTGCAGGTCGGCTACTTCGTTCCCTCGCACAAGGAAGAGCTTACTAATGCTATAATGTGTTGTTGATCGTTGTTGATCGAGATCCATCTTTCTCGCTAATTCGGATCCACGATCTGAGTCGCTTTACATACTTGTGCAAGTGTTCCATCCTCGATCGTCTTGCACAAGCGATGTACAATGATCAGGTCAATTCGCGGCCTTGAGCGGATACATTTAGTAAGATGTTTGCGAGTTTCAACCTCTCGTCGGAATGTAATACATTCCAGCTGGATGTGGAACTCGCTAACATCTTACGATGATCAGAGTGTCCAGTCGAATTCATCAAGTTCCCTGGTCAAGATGAAGTTCGTGTTGTGACTTGCCAACCATTCGGCGCGAACTTGAGGATCCTTTTGACGTACTACGGTAATTAAGCGATGGCTTGATGCCGTTATCTGATCTGTTGTTGGATAATACTAGGCTTCGTCATATCCGAGTCATTGCCCAATTACTCGGCGAACCGCCTACGAGTGTCGTATGTAGTCCAAAACTTGGAAAACGACATTCCCGTTTCACCATATATCTATCAGGTTTTTATCTACGAAATTTGCCTCTAATGTCCTTGGAAGGTAAGTACTATTGAAACTTTAAGCTTGCTTGCTTGTCTTGATCGTAATCCATCAATAGTCCATTACTAAATTGTCAATAGGATAACCAGGGCTTAGAGGCAACAATTGGACAAAGCCTCAAGAATGGCATACATTACATGTTCTGCAAACTCCAGGCTGCTCACATACGCTCTACATACGGCCGTCTGAAGATGGGCTCGCTCGCGAACAGTGAAGGACATGTAAAGTTTCTAGTCGCAACCGAGTCCTTCCCACCAATCAAACCAGTCAACGTAAAAATGATTCCGGTCCGGGCGCTACTAGCCTGTAAGTACTATTAGCTTGATTTCGTCGCCTAGCAGCGATGCAACTTGGGATTTCCAAGCGATTCTAAACGTCACATCGTGACGCATTGTATACACCTAAAATATGCCAAGACCTCACTGGCAGTCTAAGGCTTAAGCGCAACCAAATCTGCCGCTTTGCATTTATCCATTAGGATGGCTAGCGAGTACGATGTCTATAAAGACCCGACGTAGCAGAGTCTTCCCCCCATTACTCCCCGTTCTACGCCATGAAAGATTCACTCGTTTTCGCATACTATTGCTCTGGGCATGGTACGCATTCAACGTCGTCTAGCAGTGTCATGAGTTCCCTCACTTCTTTTTTCTATAGGCTATGGCCATGCGACACGCGTATCCGCGTTTGCTCGCCACCTCCTTAACCTCGATTCTCGGACGACGATACACATAATCTCGTCTGCTCCAAAACATGTTTTCAACGACAGCATTAGTCTCGGGGTCCTATACCGCTTCGCCGAGATTGACCCAGTCGTTGTACAGCCTGTGGCGTGAGTGTGTACCGACCTACAATTGACTCATTTCATTAACCGCTAGACCATTAGATACCGGGTCGACCGTCACAAGAGTGTTGAAGCTCTAAGGTCCTTTTTAGCACGCAAGGAATCTCTTTTGGAGCAAGAGCGACGGTGGCTCCTCGACATACGGGCTGACTGTGTTCTTAGTGATGCTGCCTTCCTTGGATGGTGAGTTCAGAATACATCGTGGTAGACCCTTGTGCTTATCAACCATATAGTCTTGCCGCAAATGCTGCGGGGTTGCCTTCTATCCTCATTTCAAATTTTACATTCGACTCTGTGTACAGCTTCCTTTCAACGAAATTCGTGGACCAAGTCGATGCACCTCTAGGAGATGAACTTTTGATTGATAACCACACTTCGGACCATCCGATCCCAGAAGGAGAGCTTAAACCCTTGGTTCAACAAATATATAATGGTTACCGCTGTGCGGACCTTCTTGTTCGACTTCCTGGATGTATACCTATTCCATCGTTCTCGACCTTCCCGTCGTTACCGGCGCCACCCTGGACTGACCAGGGCAGCAACACGCTACTAGATGAGATTGTATCTCATCTTGTTCAGAAGCCCGATACACACCTACTCCGTCCTTCGATACCTTTCGCCGACTCGCACCCTAAGAAACCGTTTGCACGTAGCATCATCCAAGCTCCTCTTCTCGTTCGTGGTATTAGCAAAGGACCAGACACAGTTTACTCGCCTATTGGTCGATCCCGATTTCTTTCGTCGCTTGGTGTGCCCGAACATCTACACAATCCAGATAAGACGAAGATTCTAATCGTTTCATTTGGCGGACAGGTCTTCCAGAGGCCCGCTTCCAGTCGCAGCAGCAGCACGGGTAACTCAAGTCCAGGATACAGAACACCTCCTACGGGGCTACAGCAGCTCACTGATAGCCCACAATTGTCAAAGATCCCTCTTTGCAGCGATGCTCTCAATAAAACGAATACGTCACACTGCTGTCACAGCGCCCCTCCTGTCATAAAGCCTGAGCGTAGCCCTACGTTTGACAAGTTGTGCGCGATGTTGACCAAAACAGAGTCGTGTTTGAAGAATGACGTCACCCGTTCATATTTCGATACCTCCGTTTCGGACATAATGCTTGACCATGCCGTAAATGACTTCGATGCACGGCTGTTACCGGACTCATCTTGGATCGCGATTGTATGTGGAGTGTCAAAATGGGGGCAGGATGGGGCAGACGAGAACCCTCCTGACAGGTTTTTTGTCGCCCCGAAGTACGTCTACATGCCCGATCTGACAGCTGTCGCAGATGTTCTGCTTGGAAAACTGGTGCGTTGTGTCATCAATAGTTTCCTTGGCTAATGGTCTTCCCACAGGGATATGGAACAGTTTCGGAATGCGTCGATTCTTGCACGCCTTTCGTTTATGTCGCACGTCCACTTTTTGTGGAAGAGCATGGCCTGAAGCTCCTGCTCGCACAAGAAGGAGTCGGAATCGAACTCCCTCGAGTCGCTTATGAGGCTGGCGACTGGGCTTCTGCTGTGGAGGAGGCATGGTCGCTGGGCCGCAATGCGAAAACGGAAATGCGTAGGAAAGGTATGTTAGGTATTGAAATGAATAAGCGAGAAGAAGAAGGCACGTTACTTGCGGGACAAGTGACGGATTGGGTCAGGGCATGGCACGATTCGATAACGCAGAGGACGGTGTCTGAGATCTGATGTCTGTCACGATAGATTGTTAGAGGTGACCTTTGTCTACATTATTACATACTATACGTTAGTATATACCGCACGCTCAGGGCTGCGCTTGCATAATACACCAATTGAAGAGTCGTACGAGTATCACTCACATCATGCGCTGCTTGAAGCTACGATGAGTACGGAGACCCTGATTTTGAGTTCCGACTGAGTGGGCGTTGGATTTATCTCCAACTGGAACGCCTTCTATCAAAGTTGTCAAAGTTGTTCGAATACGTACTGCTACAATCTCATTAACCAAAAAAGCAGCTGGCCAGGTCAAGAGGGAGTCATGACTGTAAAACCGAGATGTGCGTCTGTAAGGACGTACTGGTTCCGAGTCGCACTCGGTATGTATACAGCCATTAAGGATCATCATAGGCTGACTACGGGTTGTTGTTTGCTGATGAGCCTGTTAAGACCCGACACAGAGGAAAAGATTTCCTGGCAGCTAGTCGGGATTCGACGTGATGATCGGAGCTTACTAGTACTATGTGTTAAGTCTGTCCGATATGGTTCCACCCAGACTTCCTATCCATTACTGGTCTATCATGGTGGGCGTCGAAGAGAGCCCACGGAAGAGTCCAAATACAATCAAGTACTGTTTCTCCAAACTAGTACTAGCCCAAAAAGTTTTAGAAAATCGTCGGATCCGCGGAGGAATAGCGCTTGGTTGCAATTGATCTCTGGGCTCTCTTACGATGGGTAAGAGTCTGGGTTCTACCGTGTTGTATGCGTTCTGTTCACCATTTCAGAACCTGGGCAACCCAGCTAGTAACACAGTCAGCTGTGATCGCGACCGAAGAGGACAAGTAAAAGCGGTGATCACTGATTTGTCACAGTTTGTCACCAAGTTAATCTTGAAACATCGACCGTTTTCTTTCCGATTGGCAAGGTCTGCACGAGGCTGGCTTTGCATATCAGATATGCATAACTTCGGGATGTTATGATCAGGAAGTATCATTACGAACATGCACTAGACCAAAAATAACAAACCACAAGTCCCAATCCCAAGTAAGTATACCTAAACTAAAAAAGGCCATTCTTGTTGCGTGAAGAACTATATCTTGTAGTCGTAAAATATCTGAAGAGTCAAATGAATGATGTATGTCTATGTATGATTCATATGATTAGTGCCTATTATGGTTTCTCGTTGTCCTTGAGACCATGTAAAGCGTGCTTATCATGAAGATTACCTGAATTTACCGCTGCCGGTGGGAGGCGTCGACGTGGGCTTGGCTGCACGTTGATCCACCTCAGCGGGCGACTTGCTTGTCTCCATTACCACCGGAGCAGCCGCGAGTGTTCGCCACTGCTCCAAAAGTTGTTGACCCACCCCTGGCTCAACCTCCGTACCATCCCGGGAGACTTTGATCTCCCGGTCCTGGTTCCAAGGATTTCGAAGGTGCCGAGTGGAGTAGAAAGGAAGACGCTCAGTACAGAGCCATTCCACCATGAACGGCTGCCCCCAAGCCTGTTCGTCGTTCCCAGCGTTCTTTGTCATCGATGGCATCACATCATCTTTCTGTTGTTCTTCCCCAGTGTTGCCATCATCGCTACTTATGCTGTTATTCTCTTCCTCCACAGATTGTAAGGCAGATACCGCCGACTTATTGCCATCCGTGCTCTCCTGATTCCGTAACGCCCGGACTGGTGCATTCTTGTCGAGCACAATTTCGGGAGTCACATTTACAAAATCCCTGGATATTAATCCAGTGGCTGTCATGGCCTTCCTGCTTTCACGGAGGCTCAACTTCTTAGCTGGAGACTCTTCCCGTGGTGGGTAAGGCCCGAGTGCAGCTGGTGCAGATGATCGGTGAGGCTCCATAGGAGAAGGTTTGCTACTCAGGCTTCCTCCAGAATGTGGAGTGAAAGGCATTGGCGATTCCTCGACGAGACGATTTTCTGATGGCGTGAAGAAAGTATGATCGGTGGCAACAAGTGGGCTAGGACTGCCAGGCTCGCGCCGGGACGAGGACACAGAGGTTGCCGAGGGATCTGCATGCGAAGCCCACGAAACTCTGTGTTCGCCCTTCAATATCCGGCCGGCCATGCTTGTGTGTCAAAAAATCAGTACTGTGAAAAAGAAACATGGGGCTTTACATACTGTGCATATCCATAGAACTCCCCACTCTTATTCACGCTAAATATCAGGATAACATCGCTGCTAGTGCGGTAAGCCTGGTCAAGAATCGCCTCGTTATGCTTCTGAGTTGCCCACAATCCGTTTTCAACACTCAAGTCTAGGTCGAACTACAAGGTCAAAGCATCAAAAATAAATCAGAATTAGTGATACTCTAGAAAAACAAACCTGTGTTAAAGACTTGAGGATGAAAAAGCGTTTTGGAAAATGCCGGGACAAAAAACTGGAGTTCGTCGACGTATAGGAGCTACTTGATTGAGCCTTGACACTGCCTCCGGGTTGCGAACCTTGGTGAGCTCTGGCAGCTTCCTCATCACTCGACTGTGGCGCAGCCCCAGCTAGTGGATTCCCTGATTCACTCGACAGACTCGAACGGCGACCGGTAGATGATGACTGATCGTCTTCACTTGGAGTAACCTGGTTATTTTGTCCCTGTTGAGATTGCTCACGGACATAGCGAGTGTGCATGCCCACTCCCCGTTGCCCACCTACCCCAGCGCGCAGATCATCCTCTTTGCGACGTACTCGACAAACAAGTCGTGGACCCCGCCGTTCATGTGGATGAAGGTGCTGCCCATTGAACTGCACGATTGCGCGCCGTAAGTGCTCTTCCGTGTCAAAGTTGACAAATGCGCAGTTTGACCGGGAGATTAAGAAAATCGATGAAATACCATTGTCTTCAGACTCAAACGAGTCATTGTCCACAGGAGGGCGTTTCAGGAACCTCCAGAGTTCGTCGTGGGTGGTCCCACCTGGGACATTCCCTATCCACATCACCCATTCTGATTTGTGGGAGGGGGGATTGGGATGATGGGGTCGACGTACAGCGGGACGTTCAGAATGAGAACAAGACGGAGAATTAACTTTCGGTGGCTTTGAGGGTGAAGCGTGACCTTCGGCGCGAGCAAATATTTTAGGAGAATTTGATACCGATGATGATGGGGGAGCTGTTAATGCAACCTGAGGTGGGTGCCTTGCAGGCAGAACCGCCGATGAAGCAGTCGACTGCACAGGTGAAGTAGGGCTACCACGAATGGAGACTTGAGAAAAATGTGTCTCCAAATCGGGCGAAGGAGAATCCTGCGAGGGCGAGAAGTTTATTTGGTACTGAGGTTGATAATGCATGGGGATTCCCTCGTTAAATCCAGGCGGGACAGGCGAATTGTAATGCCACTGATATGGGTTTGGTTGATATGCGTGGTTGTAACGGTAAGGAGTGTATGGACTGGGATAGCGCACAGGTTGGTATTGTAATATACTATGTGAACCAGAGGCGCCTGGAGGAGGCTGCTGCACAGGTAACGGAGAGTGAGTTGTGGGACTACTTGCAGTGGAGTGCATTCCAGAATTACCGCCCAACGTATAGGGAAGCCCGCCTGTGTGATATGGTGAACGCGCCTGCATCATGGATCCGAATCCCGGTAGATTTTGTTGATATGGACCAGACTCCAGAGAAAAGTGCGGTGCATATCCACGAGCGTGTGTATATGGATAGGTTGGTGGGTGAGCCGTTGGAAATGGAGGTGGTTGCTGGGATAATGTGTATTGTCCCGGATAGTTATTCGGTTGGAATGACGATGGGGGGTGGTGTCGCAGCAAACTTCCTATGGATGACGATGGTGGTACGTTGCTTCCTTGCAAAACGTTTGCGTGAGGAATATTGCCAACACGCGTACCGGACGTGTCCTGTGGAGCTTGAGTTTGTGTCTGGACTCCACTAGAGCTCGAAGGGTGGAACTGGACATGACCAGCCTGAATGGATGCCAGCGGTGGATGGCGTGATGTGCTGGGAGGGGGATGTACCTGATTTTGTGAGCGTTGCTGCTGTGGAGGGGTCCGCATGCGTTTGGCGCTATCTAGAATATTGTCGGTACCCATGGAAGCCATATAGCACGTTACGACGATATTGGTAAATAGAAGAAGCAACTATAAAGCCCCTTGAATTATGACATTTACAGCGCAAAGGATGCTACTCACAGGGGATTTAAGTTCGTGTTTCTGCTTTATGGGATATGTTGCGGTATGAACCGTTCGATAGATGACACAGGAAATGATACAGGCACCTTGCTGTCTTTAAGAACTTTTGGATTAATGGTCACGATCTGGAAGAGCGTATGCCGTGAGAACATGATGTCATACAAAACTCAGCCTTCTCGTCGGAGTCCTGACGTCGACACCCAGGAAATTGGTGGGACCTCGTTGAGCACTGCTTCCACTTTTGCAGTCGATCCACCGAGGCCTCTGCTCCTCTTATTACGAATCAGACAAGCCAAGGGCATTCGACACTCACTCGATTTCAACTTTCCCCGTCTGTTTAAGGCCCAAGTGGTTCGATGGTTCAACACTTTGAAGTAGGACGGTCAATGTATAAGTCATAGGCATCACCCATCCAGGATGACGTGTCGAGGGGGCGGGAAGGGAAGGATTCAATCGTTCTAGCCCGCGGGCCGTGCCGTGCCGTGGCCACTGCCGCCTCACTTCCATTCAGGACGACACATGGATTGCAGTAGTTTGTCGGAGCTGCTTCTGCACCACCCACTGTTCAACGAGGGCATGACGGACGTCGGCAGTCCTGCAGGAATAAGAAGGCAACACGGCACCTATCAGTAGGCCACAGTAGTAGTATTACTGTGCTGTGACAGTAGTACTTACTTGCAACTACAGCTTGCTCCTGTAAAATGATTAGTACGCTGCTTGATTGAACCTGACAAAAATCCTAGTATTCACAGGGTGCTCCACAGTGGAGGTACTGTCTAATTATTCGATACGTACTACATACGTACTCACTTGTTCAAAATTCAACATCCATGCCGTTGACCTGTGACCGGTTGACCCACCATCACAAAATGTGACGGTGACAACTAATATTTTTATAAGTAGTCTCCCTATAAATCTCCCATAACTAAGTGTACCTAGCTGTGTATCTCATGAGTAATTCGTATCTCTCACCAACCTGACTGCACTCTGTATCATGGGTCGACCCCGCCTTCATGC